TGTGTGGCACACATTATGCCCTCTAGGTGGCCACACAAGTCCCCATAATCCTTTGTGAAACTGGGGAAGCCATCTCTTGCAGTTAGAGTGAACTGTGACTGGGCAACATCCATGCCTAGCTTGGCTTTAGGCTCCGCACCTCTAGTTCCCGTGGGGCACAATACAGTAACTGTAGGGCTACTTCAGGAAGCCATTCTGTATCTTCCTGCTCTCAAGGAAGGAAAACTTTACATTCGTCCCATGAACTGTGCCTGGCGAAACTGGGGAAGCCATCTCTTGCAGTTAGAGTGAACTGTGACTGGGCAACATCCATGCCTAGCTTGGCTTTAGGCTCCGCACCTCTAGTTCCCGTGGGGCACAATACAGTAACTGTAGGGCTACTTCAGGAAGCCATTCTGTATCTTCCTGCTCTCAAGGAAGGAAAACTTTACATTCGTCCCATGAACTGTGCCTGGCCTCTTTCGCTTTTCCACGCTTTGCCTCCCCCCACATTCCTTGTACGAGTGATGAGCAACATTCAGTCCTAAACGAGGGAACAGAGGAGAGGGATTTGATTATGACCCAGGGCAATGTGTTACCAGGCCTGCGATCTTCTGGCTGCTACTGCAGCAACGGCAGCAGCCCGAACTCCTAGCCCTTTAACTTGCCATGGAACGTGATGCGGTTGCCTAGGGACTGGCATCCTGTGCTCCCTGCAGTGCTCCAGGCTGGGCTGGCCCAGGCTCCACCCTTCCACCTGAGGCCCTGCCCCTTCTGGGGTCATGGAGTCAGACCCCCCACCTCCAGACCCAACCTTGCCCATGGCCCCCTGGTAGCCACAGGCCCACCTTGACAAAAATAGATGGCAAGGCCAGAGACAATCATGGCACATCGCTGTTGGGGGCTGTTGTATATTATGAGGGGAATTATTCAGAAGATGGCTGCTGCATCTGGAGCAAGACAGGAGAGGGAAAAATTCAATACTGAATCCATTACACTTCTCCATCCCCTTCAACGCTAAATCCAGCTATCAGAAAATCCTAGTCCCTGTGCCTAGCTGAGATGAACGACTGTCTGACAGCTGGAAAAGAGATGGTGGAATTGCACTCACCTGTTCAGAAATGAGTCTCTGCCCCTCACTGCCTTTCCTCCAGCCCCCCCTTAATCTTGTGGAACAATGCACCAAGGTTATGTTCGTGGCACTGACACGCCGATGTGACCTCAGGCAAATCTCTTAAACTCTGCTTCCCATCAGTAAACTAGGATTAATTATATTTACCTTCCTTTGTAAAGTGCTTGGAGACCCACGGAGGAAGAGCGCCATAGAAGAGTAAAGCGTTGTTATTCTCCTGTATCGTTCAGGAGTCTGGAAAGGGTGATGGATTGAGCAGGTCACCACTGGTTGTCACTCTTCAAGAAGAGAAATAAGGAGGTGCCCGATTTTGAGCCCTGTTGTGCCAGAGTAACTTGTGTGGAGTCATTCTATTTAATATGATGCGAAAATATGTCCAGAATCTGGACATCGGGCCTTTAATTCCTCCTCATCCTGGAAGAAGGGAGAAACTTTTGGATTAGGAATGTCATATTCCATTTGTCCTGTAGAAATGATGCCCACAGAGGTGTGGGTGGATATCAGAATCAAACATGGACACTTGTTATTCCTCTAGGAGATGAAGAATATACACAGACTCCAGAAAGGAGTGAATGAACTTCCATTCCATTCTACTCCTAACAAATGCTTGCTCCCTCTCTCTTAATGGCACTCCTTTGGCTTCCCGTTAAGTTACACAATAATTACCTTCCCCCCCTCCCCGCCCCGTTTTCAGCCTTTCTTCTGACACTCCATGGCAGAAACTGCCAAGAATGGGGTTGTTGTGATGGTAAAGTGTGTAGTAGCCGTCAAATTACTCCAACTGGGGTCTTGCCACAATCATTTTAATAAGGATTGATTGACTCCACTGGCATAATTTAGCAACAAATAACGGAAAGAAGAAAACTCGAGGCCAAGCACTTTCTGTGATGAACTACATGCCAGATTTTTTTTCTTGAAATGAACCTTTACAAAGATACAAAGGCTGTACGTGGCTCACATGTAGATCCAGGCACTGGGAAACCTTAGGGTTTGGACTACAGGTGAACAAGATACTATGTTAATAGCAAATACCATGGGGCAGTTGTAGCAGCAGCAATCAGAGGGTAATGATACTTTGGTCTCATTTTGGGTGTTCGAGTTAATATGCAGGTGTGGAGGGAACGTTGGTGGCCTGTGATATAGACAAGGTTAGCTGAGGTTATCTTGGTCTTGAGCTCCCTTTTGGTCTGAGCTCCAGAATTATATGAGAGGAGGAAAGGGTCATGATTTTAGCACAAGCATGGAATGATCTCTAATGCATCTTATGCCAGGCAGACAATTGTCACAGAGACTTCAGAACCATCCTTCCCCAGATACAGAATACACAGCTGCCTAGGTCACCTGAAAATGTCAGGCACCACTGGGTCTTAATGTCCACCCATCTGCCTATTCCTGTCCTGTAAAAAATAATAAATAGTCTTGCAGCATCTTAGAGCCTAAAAAATATGTAGATAGTATCTTGAGTTTTCGTGGGAACAACCCCCTTCTTCAGATGAATGGAGTAAAAAAAAGTCCAGATACAAGAATAAATAGGGAATGGGGTGGAAGCAAGGGGAAAAAGTCATGAATTAGAATGTTCAGGTTACAACAGTGGTCTCCAACCTTTTTACACCCAAGATCACATTTTAAGTCTCAGAACAGGCGAAGATCTACTGCCCCACTCCTTCCTTGAAGCCCCGCCTACATTACATGAGGAAATCTAATGTAAATGCACTGCGCAGCTGCGCAGTTCAGAGAGGGCTCAAGAGCTACTCTCGGAGCCCCTGAGATCTACCTGTAGATTGCAACCTACTGGTTGGTGACCAGGGGGTTACAAGAAGTTGATGGAGAAGGTGCAAATTGTTCGTAAGTACTCATTGTTAGTTGGTTAAGTCATTAGGATGTGGAAGTTAGCCATAAAAAAAAGTGTGAATAAAAACATTACCTGGTTAGCACACTACCTTCCACATCCTGATGACCGTAACCAGTAACAATGGTACTTAAGAACAATTTGCACCTTCTCTACCAGCTTCTTATAATTTGAACACTCTAATTCATGATTTTTTCCCCTTGCTTCCCCCCAACTTTACCCTATTTATTCTTGGATCTGGACTTTTTATACTCCATTCATCTGAAGAAGTGGGTTGTACCCACAAAAGCTCATGATACTATCTACATATTTTGGTAGTCTCTAAGGTGCTGCTAGACTATTCGTTACATTTTTCTTCAGATGAAACCTTCTTCTTCCTGTCCCTGTTCTGTGACTCTGCTTCCTCCAGAGAGGGTCTATTTCACTTACAAGGGAAAAAGCCTGCCAGACCCATTAGAAGACCGAGCCTGTGAATGAGCCTTGCAAGTGGTGATGAAGCCATTTTACAGGCATGGGCTAAGCCCGGTTTCTGAATTTACTCTGTGCGTCAACAGGAGCTCTGTTTAAGATTTGCTTAAAAAATATTTCATTGGTGTGCTGCTGAAGATTATAAAATCACATCTCCAAAAAATCGTTATCACCCCGACTGCTGTTGGGCGCAGGGGCAGCAGTTTAATAGAACTGCACAGGACTCAATGCAGCCTAAGGATAGCCCTGCGAGACATGCTCAGGTCAGCAGCAGAGACGGTCCAGTGCCTAACGCCCTGCACTAGCTTACCTCTCATTGTGCTTTCAGGCAAGGCCTGATTTTTCCCCAGCTGGCTCCTTCTTCTTGGCTTGTTTTGGTGTGTCCCAAACTGGTTGTCAACAGCTAAGTCCGCAGCAAGCTTGAGCTTATTTGGGTCTTCTGTTGGGAGCAGTGAAATGCTGTCCATTAAAATTGCAGCATGAGACGTTAACGCTGTTGCAAATCTATAGGACACTTATAATCAAAGGGCCTTTTTCTTGCAGTGAGCTGGCATTAGCATTTGCCGGAAGCAGGCATGAGGAAAGCGAGCATCTTGGGAAGCTTAGCTCTTATAGAATATGTGTTATTAATTTACAGTGGAAGGTGTGTCGGCATGGACCTGTCAGATGCCATTAACCTTAATGCGGAGATACAGATATCAGGGTTCTTTCCTGTATTA